CCAAGAAGTTACTGGTTCGATCGCTGGTCAGGGCACATGCCCAGGTTGTGGGCTCAGTAGGGGTTATATACAAAGTAGCCAGTCCATGACCTTTATCTCTCATCCATGTTTCTATCTCTATCCCACTCCCTTCCTCCCTCTCTAAAATCAATAAAAACATTTAAAAAGAAAATCCATGTGAAATTTTGGGCTTATTTGAATCTATCAAAGTTAATAGTTACCATGCAGAGGCTACAATTATATATTTCTATTATATCTATTTTTGCATCCTATGTTCTATTATAGTTTAGCCACTTAATTCTTGCTTTATTAAATAAAAATATAATCCTTGCTGTTAGGAATTGGGAATGTTGCATATCTTGGTGATGTGATGGAGGAGACATTTCGGTGGTTTTTTTTTTTTGAATGCTAACTGCATGATTATAATGGAAGATGCTAGAATCCTAGTTGGCAGTTGACATTGGAAGAGTAGGGGGATGGCCCTGTGGTTGGTAGTATCTCATGTGACCTGTTGTCTGCTCTGGGCAAGGGTCAGACCTGCATGTGTCTAGAAGTTCTGTGCTTAGAAAGGATACTGGCTATCTGGGAACTGGTCCCTGGGACTATGGCCCATATTAGTATATTTAACATAGGAAATCTGTTCAGGGGATGAACTAAGATCCCTATGTATCTAGACTGAAATGTCATGACCTACGATGTAATATATTTCCTGTGGTTAATTTTTGTAATATTGTATGTTCAAAGATATTATTAAAATTATGAAATAGCTCTGGCTGATATGGCTCAGTTGGTTGGAGCTTCCTCCCATACACCAAAAGGTGGTGGGTTTGATTCCTCCACAAGGCGAATCTCTCCCCCCCACCCCCTCCTGCCTCTCTTCCACCCCTTCCCTTCCTCTCTCTAAAATCAATAAAAAATAATTTAAAAACAACAACAAATAAATAAAGCTAAGCAATTTCTTCCTTCAGCAAACCTCCCCCATCCATATCTATTCCTCATAGGTTGCTTGGGTAATGGTTTTTTAACTGTGGTGTGAATCCTTTCATACTTTTAAAAATAATAGATGTTAAGGATGTTAAAAGTCAGAATTCCATGGAATAAGGAAAAGGTGATGATGTGATACAGGGGTAGATAGTGAATAGTGAATGCTCTCTGATTCCTTCAGACTAGGTGCTATGAATAAGAGTATTATTTCAAGTGTAACAGCTACTTAGGTTCTGTACCTCGTCTATCAGGTTACTCCTAGCAAAGTCATTTCAGGTTTACCAAGTTGTGCTTTTTTAAGATATCTTTTCTTAGTCATTTTTCAGTCAGTCTGTTCTATATGTGGGATTTGAGTGTTTTTTGATAGGCATCAAAAATCATTTTTAGATATTTGATAGATATGTCATTTCTTTTTAGGCTGGTACCATATATGTTGCCTAGACCCACATAGTTTAGATATTTTTTTACACTAGTTTATTTGCACTGACTCATTTCCGAGCACCTTTGATTCACTTTTGGTTGCTTATACAAACTTACTAATATTCTCTCTACAAATGATCCTTCTAAGAATAGCCAATGAATAAAGTAAAATTATATTTCTGTTGATATAAATCCTATTGACTTCTGACCAAAATTTTACCTGGGTTGCAGGTTTAATCCCTAGCCCCAGTCAGATGAATGTGGGAGGCAACCAGTCAATGTATCTTACATCAATGTTGCTCTCTTTCCCCCCTCCTTCCCTTCCACTCTCTAAAAATCAATGGGAAAAATATCCTCCGGTGAGGATTAGCAACAATAAAAAAATAATGTACTCTTAGTAAATGTAATTTTACTTACACAGTTTGACTATAATTTGAAGAGCAATCTAGTTAACATGAAGCAATTCCTTATGTTATTAAAGACCTTTAGTTCTATGAATTCATTTTAACCAAATTCAAAGTAATTTTTAGACATTTGTCTGAAAATACACTAACCATTTAAGAGGCTAATTTCCTTGAACAAAGACTGTTTATGTGAACTGAAGCTCTCCATTGAAATTCTCTCCTCAATGTGCCTGTGTCCTGATCCTTGCCAGGCCTATCATGCAGAAGTTAAGCGCGGCCTGGAGGGTGGTGCTAAGCTATAATTTAAAAAGCTTTCACAGACATTTTGGTTATTCAATTTGGACTGTTTTCTCCAAATGATATTTATTGACTCAAGGAACCACTAGTGACAAATTAATCCTGTAAACTTAAGGTAAGCCTCCTAGCACTTTAGAGCTTATACATTATTATGATGATCTTATGATAAAAGTTCATGTTTAAGGACTTCTTAAACTTTCTCTGGCTCATGAGTAAAAATAAGGATAATTATTTGTCCTCATAAATGAATGAAACTATAGTATCAATGTGTACGCAGTCATGCATTTCTCAGGTGTCAGACTTACAATTCTAGTTCTTATGGTTTCTTATTTCTGATAATGTGAATATTAGTTATAGTGCATGACAGAAGATCTGTGAATAAGTTTACAATAGCTCTGTGTTATATGAGAAATTTAGAACAAGTAATTTACTCTTTCTCGGTCTTTTTTTTTTCCTTCATTTGTATGGGGCAGAAAATACCACCTGTCCTGTGTAAATACCAGGGTAATTATGAAATTATATGAGTTGATATTAAAATACTTTGAATAATTAAGACTGATAATGTAACTAGGTATTTTGTTTTATGCAGCTTATTTCTTTATTTTGTTTTTTAGATTCAATTATTGATATGTATTTATTGCCATTTTACTGTTCATATTTTCTTAATATATTTTTATTGATTTCAGAGAGGAAGGGTGAGGGAGGGAGAGATGGAAACATCAATGATATGAGAGGATCATTGATTGGCTGCCTCCCTCACACTCCTCTTGGGGATCAAGCCCAAAACTTGGGCATGTACCCTGATCAGGAATTAAACCTTGACCTCCTGGTTCATAGGTTGACACTCCACCACTGAGCAATACTGGCCAGGCTACTCGTTTTCTATCTTTCTTCTTAAGACCCTTTAACATTTCTTGTAATACTGGTTTGGTGGTGATAAACTCCTTTAGCTTTTTCTTGTCCTTTAGCTCTTTATCTGACCCTCAATTCTAAGTGATAGCTTAGCTGGGTAGAGTAATCTTGGTTGTAGGTCCTTGCTTTTCATCACTTGGAATATTTTTGCCACTCCCTTCTGGCCTGCAAAATTTCTGTTGAGAAATCAGCTGACAATCTTATGTGAGCTCCCTTGTAGGTAACTAACTGCTTTTCTCTTGTTGCTTTTAAGATTCTCTTTTTGTGTAACTTTTTGCATTTTATTTATGATGTATCTCTTTGGTTTCATTTTGTTTGGGACTCTCTGCACTTCCTAGACTTATATGTCTATTTCCTTCACCAAGTTAGGGAAGTTTTCTGTCATTTTCTCAAATAGGTTTTCAATTTCTTGGTCTCTCTCTCCTCCTTCCAGCACCTCCATGATGAGAATGTTGGCAAGTTTGAAGTTGTCCATGGGCTCCTTACACTACCCTCATTTTTTTGGATTCCTGTTTCTTTTTACTCTGTGTTTGGGTGGTTTTTGCTTCCTTACATTCCAAATCACTGATTTGAGTCTCAGCTTTATCTACTCTACTGTTTAGTCCCTGAACTGTAGTCTTCATTTCAGTTAGTGTATCCTTCATTTCTGACTGGTTCTCTTTTATGGTTTCCATGTCCTTTTTTATGCTGTTGAAGTTCTCACTAAGTTCATTTAACATTTTTGTAACCAGTATTTTGAACTTTGCTTCTAGGAGATTGCTTGTCTCTGTTTTGTTTAGTTCTTTTTTTGGAGTTTTGTTCTGTTCTTTCATTTATGACATGTTTCTTTGTCTTCACATTTTGGCAGTCTCCCTGTGTTTGTTTCTCTGTATCAGGTAGAGCTGCTACATCTCCAAGGCTTGGTAGAGTGTCCTGATGTAGTAGGTGTCCTCCCCAATCTCCCAATCTGGGCGCTTGAGGCAAGGACTTACTTCACCAGGACTCTGGTGCCCACTGAGTTCACCCTTCGAGGGTATCACTTGTGGGGGTGGTTGGGTGGTGGTTTGCATTGGTTCGAAGTTGTTCACCGGGTGTGCTGGCTCTGGGGTCTCCCAGGAGGTGCTGGCTTTGTTCTTCCCTGGGCCCCCTGGCATAAGCTACGGAGTGATCTGCAGATGCCTACTGCTTGTGCTGGCTGGCTTGGAAGTGCCCAGGGGAGGCCACGCTGTGAATCAAGGCAGGCTGCCACTAGTGCCCGCCCTGGGGCCACTTAGTGAGAGGTGTGGGGCACACTGAGGCCAGATGCTCTGTGTTGGAGAGATTTTAGGAAAACCTGAAGCGTGAGCCAAGACATACCCTTTGCACGGAAAAGACACTGAAAACAGCTTGGGTAGGCCTGAAAGTTGGGTGCTGCAGGACAGACAGGATGAGTCAGGTTGATGGAGTCTCAGATATGGTACCCGCCTGCCAGCTCGGGGGGGCGGGGGGCGGGGGGGGCGGGGAGGCTCATCAAAGGAACAGTGGTCTCTGCCAACACTTCTGACTTGAGGAGGCTGCTCTCTAGCTCTCGCCCTGATGCTGGACAATTCCGTTTCTCCCCATATGTCTCTGATGCCTTTCAGGCCGCTGCCTGAGCACTGGAGTGAGTCTGAGTAAGTTCATGCATGGACCCTTTACGACAAACTGCCGGGGACTCCAGCAGCTCCTCTGCCTCCTTCGTCCTCAGTCCCCACTTATTATTACCGCCAGGAGTTATGGGACTTCTCTTCCTGACACTGGAACCTGGTGTGGGGGGCCTGGTGTGGGGCTGGACCTCCATGCTCCTCAGGGGGGGTCTCCACAGCTGAGATAACCCTCTTGATTTTTTTTTCCCTAAAATACTCTATTGATTTCCACAGAGAGGAAGGGAGAGGGACAGAGAGCCAGAAACATTGATGAGAGAGAAACACCGATCAGCCGCCTCCTGCACACCCCCCACTGGGGATGTGCACGCAACCAAGGCACATGCCCCCGACCGGAATCAAACCCGGGACCCCTGAGTCCGCAGGTCGACGCTCCATCCACTGAGCCAAACCGGCTATGGCAACCCTCTTGATTTTTATCCACCACATGGTGTGCGACCAGCCTGTTCAACATTTCTGTCCCTCCTACCAGTCTCCATGTAGCTTCTGTTAATCCCTAGTTGTAGGACTTCTGTTCAACTAGATTTCTGGCAGCTCTGCATGATGGTGGTTCTGTCGTTTAGCTGTAATTTTGATGTGGTGTTGGGAGGATTCACATATCCTTACCTATGCTGCCATCTTGACTGGAGGTCAGTCTTGGCAGCTGTTGGCATGTGAGTAGTGAACCTTAGCTTAGCCCATTCTTTCCTTTTCTTTCGTTACTCTATACAGATGACGCTTGAACAAAACAGGTTTGAAGTGAATGGCCCACTTATATGCAGTTGTGTGGTGTGTTTTTTTCCAGTAAATACATACAGTATTATCAATGTACTTTCTCTTCCTTATGATTTTTTAATAACTTTCTTTTCTCAGGCTTACTTTATTATAAGAATACTGTATATAATACATATAACATACAACATATGTGTTGATTGTTATTGGTAAGGCGTCTGGTCAACAGTAAACTATCCGTAGTTAATTTGGGGGGAAGTCAAAGTTATATGTGGATTTTTGACTGGAGCCAGTGGGGTGGGGGTCAGCCCCCTCACCCCTGGGTGGTTCACATGTCAACTGTATTTCTATTTCATCAAATCTGTTTGTCATCATTGAGGAAAATGTTCCCCTCGGTAGTTGCCTTTGCATCCAGTGCAGCCTTGGTTCTCCCTGACTCCCATGACAAGGTCGTTGAAGGATGAGGAAGAAAGCCCCTGTGGCCACGCCCTCGCATGGTGCGTTCTCCTGGTGCCCTAGTCTCTTTCGAGCTTTGTCCTCACCTTTAAGGAGAAAGGAGCAGCAGGGAGCAGTGGGCTGCTTGCCACTGGTTGCTAGGAGGGAAGGAAAGTAAGTCAGCATTTATTCTGTTCTTCTACTCGGTGACATCTGTCTGCCATCTGTTGGCTTCCCACCTCCTTTGACTTGTCTTTAACCTCCCACAAAACCTCCCTGAGCTGCTGGAAAGAGTGTCAGATTGAACTGGCCCTTCAGTAGTTCTTCCCTTAAAACAAATACACCAAATCCACACATCTGATTTTCAGAGAGTAGCAAGCAGTTTTTGGAACACCACATCATTTCAAGTGAGCTTATGTGAATATGCCTTTTGTTTGTCACTCCATTCCAAACACATACAAGAGAGAAAATGCCAAGCCGTGAAATTGTGTTCTATGAGTAAATATGACAACTTCCTTCTCAGACATAACTGCTTAAGCTTTTGTCCTTTATTCTATTCTGACCCTTTTTCTTGTTCTGGCTTTACCTTTTCTTGCTTTCCTCAGATTATTTATTTTGCTTTTATTGCTTAATGCAGGACTTAACACCCCTAACACTTTTTTCTTTTCTGTTAGAGAAAATGGCAGGAGTGTGGCAGAAAAAAATTTGGCAGAAGTAACAGAAAGGCCAACAGGCTATTCCTAGATAACAAACTCAGCTGTATTCAAATGTGAGTGTGACTGATGCTGAAATAAGAGGGAAATCAGAGCTCTGAGGAACCCATGGAATCAGAATTTAGCCTCTTCATTTCCCAGGGTTGGAAATGACAGTCGGGAGAGTTGCCCAGGGCCATACAGCGAAGTTATCAGTGGAAGCAAGGCTAGACCTTGGTCTCTTGGCTTGTTCTTGGTACTTTTCTGTAATGGAGATAGCATTATCACAGAATTCACAAATGGCAAACACTTCCATGACCTAATGCTGTGATGGTTTTTAAAATGATTGTTTGCTTTAGTTTCACAGAAAATGAAATCATTTTCAGGATTGTTGAATTGTCAAAATATTTACTCTAGATTTTAACTTGCAAACTCCTTGTGTACATTGATTATATATCAATTCAAACTCCCTGTGTACAGCATCAGGGGACCGGTTACATTATCCTGGTGTGCCTCTGTGGTAGGATATCATACCTCTGGATTTTGGAAGAATTTTTGATGGCATGAAGGGATGCATATAAAGTGAAAGTCTGAAATAATATATATATACTAGAGGCCCGATGCATGAAATTCGTGCAAGAGTAGGCCTACCTTCCCCTGGCTGCCAGCACCGGCTTCCCTCTGGCACCCGGGACCTGGGCTTCCCTTCGGCACCCAGGACGCCGGCTTCCCTATGGCCGCCGGCAGGCACCCAGGACCCGGTCTTCCCTATGACCACCAGGCAGGCACCCAGGACCCGGTCTTCCCTATGACCACCAGGCAGGCACCCAGGACCCGGTCTTCCCTATGGCCACCAGGCAGGCACCCGGGACCCGGGCTTCCCTCCGGCCGCTGGCTTTGTCCGGAAGGACGTCTGGTCTAATTAGCATATTATGCTTTTATTATTACAGATAATACCCATATTGTGGAAGAAAAAAAACAAACAGGCACATACCAGTACATGCTTGGAAAGTTAACAATGGCTTTGAATGTCAGGATTATGAATAATTTTTATTTATTTTACTTGGTTTTCAAATTTCCTGCACATGTACATACTACTTTAATAATCAAATTAGTGAATATTATGAAAATGTAATTAATTTATAATTTACTTTCCATGTAATTTTTAGGAATAACATGTATGGTAAATGACATATCTTTAAAGCTTCATAGTGTAAATTATCTCTTGTTTCTTGATTTTTCTACTGTAGACTACTTTATTTGTTACTAAATGTATTTTTATTCCTTAGGAAATTATTCTTCATGTGTCTTTATTGTACTTCTTCTGGTGTGTATGTATACATATAACATACACATACACATACATATATATATTTCCTGTATTTTTACCCTTACTTATATGTTTTGTCCAAATAATACATGTACACAGTTTAGAAAGTCAAGCCTTGAAGACAAAGTATAATAACATATAACAAAATATAGCTATTTCATAGAGAAGTTACCTCCACATTGCTAAGATGCTTCTACTGTTTTTTTTTATTCATTAATTTTAGATAACATTTACTTTCTGTTTTTGTAGATGAGGTGTTAACTCCCATTCCCTTTATTTACCTTCCCTCTATTTTATTTTTTATCCTCACCTGAGGATATGTTTGTAAAAACTGATTTTAGAGAAGGAGGGAGGGAAAGAGAAACATCCACATCAGTGAGAAGCATGGATCATAGGTACCGCGAGGAAGCTCCAGCCAAAGGAGCCACCAGGCCAGGGCCCCCCTCTCTTTTCCTCCCAGTGTGGTTAAATGGCCATTCGAATGTAAAGCAATTGCTTTTTCAGGATTATGACTATGTAACACCCCCCCCCAACCCCAGATTAAATAATGTATTATAATTATATTCCTTTTATTTTTCAGTTTTGATTTTTGTTAACATCTTATTTTAAGATTAGTCATACAGTATGCCTCTCATTCTCTAAAAGCCTTCCCTGGCTCCTGTTGTCTCCAGGTTGAAGTCCAAGTTCAGTGTGTGTGAGGCTGTGAGCTTACCTGGCTCCTCCGCTTCAATCTTCCGGCCTCACAACCACTGCTTTCTGTCTCTCTGCTTCACCTCTGCAGTCCTACTTGTAGGGTCTTGAGTGGGCATATTTCCTCTTGCCTCCATGTCTTTCTACGTCCGTGAACACTTCCTTCTGTGCTTACCAAGGCTTCATTTTCTCTAGAAAAGTCTTTCAGTCCTTTCATTCCCACTCCCACCTCCCACATGTTTGGGCTTGGTACCCCTTAACAGCCTTGTACAATTCTACCACGGCTCTACTCATCCTATTTTGTAATTATTTATGCTAACTGTTCTCAGATGTGGCTTAGGGTCTCTGAGGCCTCCTAAAATAAAAGAGATCAAGGACTGGGTTTTTCGACTGTAACATCTGAAAACAACGAATGTTTTGCAGAACATTAGGGCTTGTGAGGAAAATAGCCTTGGGACTTACACTCAAAACCTGTGCAAGTGTGTAACCCAGTGGTTCTCAACCTTCCGAATGCCGCAACCCTTTAATACAGTTCCTCATGTTGTGGTGACCCCCAATTTCATTGTTACAAACTGAACATAATTAAAGCATAGTGATTCATCACAAAAGCAATATGTAATTATATATGTGTTTTCCAATGGTCTTAGGCGACCCCTGTGAAAGGGTCGTTCGACCCCCAAAGGGGTCGCGACCCACAGGTTGAGAACCGCTGGTGTAACCAGTTTAGCAGCTAAAACAGTAGCAATCATAAATGAAACTTTTAGCACAGCGAAATCTTTCCTGGGATTTGTACTCCTGCACAGCCTTAAACCCTAGGGCTCATCTTTCCCATATGAGATTTAGGCCCTGGAATAGTTTGCCTATGGGTATCATTTTTATCAAAATTTTAAAATCTGAACCTGGATATAGCCTTTATTAGTCTGTTTTAATTCTTAGCTATTTTTTCCGTCTGCATTTACAGCTTCTCCAGATCACTTGTACTGTACCAGCATCTAATTGCCATATCTATCATCTGTCTGTCTATCTATCTATCTGTCTCTACATACATAATTTCAGGCTAAGGTATCTCTCTAGTAGTGGAAGCTTATACCTTCCTGTCACTTCCAACACATGAACATGTATTGTAAGCCACCACAACTTCCTCATTATCTCCACATCATTACCCTATATACTAAATACGTGAGCAAATTTGTGTTAAAGAAACATGCATTGTAGCTGATTGTACCTCCTGTTCCAGGAAGCCTTTCCTGACCGACCGCCTCCCTCCTGCATATCCTTACGGCTTTCTGTGCAGATCTGTTTGTCTTTCCTACCCGGCTAGCGAGAAAGAAGTCCAGGAAAACTGGTTTCACCGTTTGGCACTGCTTCTTGTTGACAAGGTGATTTTCTTTTCCAGCCTTCTGAGTGCCTGGTCTCAGGTCTGTTGTAGTAGGTCTGAAACCCAGATGACACTGCACTTTCTGCAATGGAAATGTAATTCCCTCCTTTGTTAATATCTGTGACTGACCACGCTCTGTTGCCCATAGTAGATGTTCTTAAATTAGAGTAGACTCATGGATCTCTAAGAACTCAGGAGCGTTCTGAAAGTATATGCAAAACTTCTGATTTGCTTATCTTTTAATAGAGAGAGGGGATATAATGTAATCAGACTCTAGAAAGGATCCAGCCCCTTCCCCCCCAAAAAATACCACTTGCCCATAGGAGAAAGGTCTTAAGGTGCTGAATAGTACCCAAATGCTTATAATTTCTCAGAAATACCATCTGCTCTCTTGCTTTAAATACCAGTTGCTTCCTCAGCCCATCATTTTATTAATCTTTTAAAAGTATTACACAAATCATGCCTTTAAGGAAGCTTTCCTTGATTCCTGGATTCGGTTTCTGCTTTGGGTTTCTTTGGGCTCCTGTAGCAGTGGTCACATGCATTGTAGCGTAGCACTCCATACCTTTACAGATGGTTTCTCACTTGAAAATGGGCATGAGTTTCTTCCTTATAGGCTTAGTACAATATCTGTCAGCAAATGGTAGTAGTTCTTGTTTGCTTTATTCTTCCTCTTGCCTTTCTCACCAGGAGTGTGAGCCTCTGTATTGTAAAGTCAGTGTTTTTTGTTTTGCTGTGATAATTTTGGATAGATTAGCGTTCAGGAGTTCAGTAGAACCTGAGAAAGATCGGGTCATTCTTCAGCCCTAGAACCAAACAAGGGGGATACTTTTTCAAACTAGTAAATTATGGCCCTGGCCAGTGTGGCTCAATTGGTTGGAGCATCATCCCATGTCCCGAAGGGTCGAGGGTTTGATTCCCGGGGTCAGGGCACAAGCCCAGGTTGTGGGTTTGACCCTCAGTTGGGGCGTGTGCAGAAGCAGCCAATCGATGTTTCTCGCATTGATGTTTCTCTCTCTTCCTCCCTCCTTCGCCCTTCATCTCTTTCTAGAATCATATCCCAGATCCTAGGGGGTGGGTTAAAAGAAAACTAGTAAAATTATGGCATTTTCAGTAGAGCCATTTGTTTAATGTGTGTGCGGAGTCAGAATTATAAAATCCTCATAAAATCTCAGGCACATGCCACACTGGAGACTGACAGGAATCAATCTATTGTAGATGCTTTTTCTTTCATCTTGGGAAGACATTCATTCTCTGAGTACCAGATGGAAAAGTTAATGCTTAGAGGCCCTGACGGTAAAAAATCTTTAACTGCCAGAATGGCACTCAGTGACTTGATATGCTTGAGTTACAAAAGACCCCTTGAAGGAACAGCACATTGGCGCCTCCCATTGCACTGTATGCCACGAAATAAAGCTCATGGAGGAGAATGGGGCTGTAAGCCCTTGTGCTTTTAAAATGATTTCTTTCTTTGATTTTTGGGGGCATTGAAGTCAGCCAAGTTTGTGTGAGTCAGAATAAGTTAAATAGGAATGTGATGTGAATTCACAGCATTTCCTCTACTCAGAAAGTTCAGGAGATCATAAAAGACAAGGGAGGCCACAGACAGACATGGGCAGGCTCTGGTAAGGAGGCTGGCTCCCCAGGAGGGTTGGCGCGCCTGTACCAGGGGTCTGAGGATCCTGATGAAGTTCGAGACCTGATTGCTTTTCTTCTCTCAAGTCGAGAGGCTTGGCTTTGCCACAGTTGGCTGACATGACTCTTGTTTTGGGCCATGGGTATTTCATTCTCACTCCCCTCTCCTGGTTTATTAGTTCAGAAATTGATACATGAATGTAGTTATCAGCTATAGTTGAATGAAGCTTAAATTGTATATTCAGTAATATGTATTGACAATTTTATTTCATCAAGATGCAGCTATGTTTCACTCAAAGATACTGAGTGTGACTTATTAAACAAGTTCATTTTGTGTGTGTGTGTATGTAAAATGTACTAGTGCTTAAACTATTAAGGTTGTTAATAAAATTTCTTACCTTATTTATCATGACAACATTTACCAGACAAAACACCTTTTTATACACATACATACACACTTTAAAAATGTGGATTATATTTTGTTTATACAGTTTGTAAGTCGTGTTTGGGTACTATATTATCCTTTGTGTTATCATTATGAATTTATGTGGTACATTTGGGAATTGTTAGCAGGTTTTTAAGTTTAGGGTTTTAAATTAATCAAGTAGTCCATGCATAGACTCACAATCCTCTAAAGGAGGCCGCATGGGCTGGTGAGTAAAAGCGTGGTTTCTGGAGTCTGAAAGACCTGGGACTGTGCCCAGCAGTGTCTCCCAGATAGAGCACCACTGTCTACTATGGCAGCTACTGGCCACATGTAGCTATTAAGCACTTCAAATGTGGTTCGTATGACTGCCTGAATTTAAATTGCATTTAACTTTAATTAATTTAGGTCTAGGTAGCCACATGTGACTGGTGGCTACCGTATTAGGTCTCATAGTATGAGGTGACTTAACTTTGCTGTGTTCCAAACTTCCCATCTGTTCAGATGAGGTCATACTTAAACTACCTTTTGTAGTTGTAAGAATAAGTACATGAATGTATTTAAGGAGCTTTACACTATACCTGGAATAGAATATGTCCTTGAGAAATGATAGTTATAATGATTACATATTTAATAAACTAGACTTACTTTCCTTTTGAGCATTAATTTAAAACTGTTTATTTTTATTCCCTTTCAGGATTAATTTATTTTTGGAAATCAAGTGCAATATTAAGAGGAAAACAAACTGTACTGCACATTATTGGAAGCCATTTCTGCTAATTTTATTACATTTTAAAATTTATGATTTGATTTGAATACTATCATGGGAGGAGCAGTGAGTGCTGGGGAAGATAACGATGACTTAATTGATAACTTGAAAGAAGCTCAGTATATCCGCACGGAAAGAGTGGAGCAAGCCTTCAGAGCAATTGATCGCGGAGATTACTATTTGGAAGGCTACAGAGACAATGCGTACAAAGACTTAGCCTGGAAGCACGGGAACATACACTTGTCAGCACCTTGCATTTATTCTGAAGTTATGGAAGCATTGAAACTTCAACCAGGATTGTCTTTTCTTAACCTGGGAAGTGGAACCGGATATTTAAGTACAATGGTGGGCTTAATTTTAGGTAATTTTATTTTTGTAAAATTCTTTTTTTAAAAAGTAAGCTAAGTTTGTATTACTGTTTATGATTTTGGGGTTTGCAACTTTGTATTCAGTATATGTTTGAATACTTCAAGTGGAAGCACAAAGTAATAGTCATCTTTTCTTAGTCTCAGCCTTGGCTCTAATTGTTGGCTTCTGCATTTAGTCCTAGACTTCAAGAGCTCTTGGGATTGTTTTCCAACCCCCGGTCATTGTCTGTACTTAAAACTGAACAGTTGGTAGGCAGGAGACTGAGGAGTATAATGTAATTTATTTCAGGTAAAGTGTTCTGACTGCGGGCATAGAGTTTGATAGTTATCAATGTCCCATTTTAAAGGGAATGGTGCCAGGTGTTTTTTAAAGATACAGGAGTATATGGGATACAGAGGATGTGGCATTGGCAGGCAAAGCAAAGGATTGGAAATAAACCACAGAAGAGAGAAGTACATGCCATTGAGGTTTCAGCATACCTTAAGTAATGGCCTGTTCTGCCAGGTGTTATTTCTGGTATGAGTATACAGCAGCGATCAAAAGGGACAGATAGCTCTGTCTGGGAGAAGTTTATTGGGTGCTTACTACGAGGGCGAGGCATTGATTTCCATGTGTATAGGAGAGTTAAACTGAAGCACAGACATTAAATATCTTGCCTGAAGTCCCATAGCTAGGAAGTGACAGATGGAAAATATGGAATGTGGTGGAAAAAGCATGGCTAGAAGAAAATCGATAAAGACATTATGATGTTGGATGGAGAATGAACAACCATGAATTTTGCTAAGCCACTGAGTATTTACTGAGTGTTGCTGTGTGACAAGAATTAGGTGGAGCATGAAGGCCCATAACATAGCCTCTTGCCCTTGAATTCACAGACTGGTGGGGGTGGGGGGGGGGGGGAGACAAAACACTTCTCATCCAATGGGATACGTGCTGTAGTTGAGGTATACTGTATGCCCAAGTAATAGGGATAAGACTGGTTTAAAATTTGCTCTAAAGTGATGGGGAATCATTGAAAGATTTTGAATAGAGAATCTCTGATTATACTCTAGCAGGGGTAGGGAACACCTGGCCCATGGGCCCTGTAAGGCCCTTGAAATCATTTGGTCTCGCCCTGCCAAGGCATCGGATGAGTTCATTAAATGTTTGACAAAATATAGCAGGCTGATTTTTAAGTTGAAAATTTTGTATGGCCCATGAATAATGATATAAATAATCCAAATGGCCCTGGGCGGAAAAAAGGTTCCCACCCCTGCTAGGGTAACTAGGTCCCAGTATGCTGGGACAGTCCTTGTTCATCCCTGTGGTCCTAGCATCATCAATAATGTTCTTTTCTTTCCCAAAGTATCCCATTTTGAGCAATAAATTGTGTGGTCACATATGACATTTAAGGCATTTTTAGTCCTGAAATTTTCCTTTCCTACACACTGGCTAGCTCCTTCATTTCTTAACCATGGAACCTGCAATCTATTTCATTAAAAAAAAAAAATAGAGCATTTTCCTCCCACAATTGAGTTTTTGATAAATAATAATTCCTCAAAAATGTAGCAAATAATTAAGTTTTACCAAGACAGAAATTTAGCAGCTTACATGTGCATTTGGTTCTCCGGCTGCCCTGAGACAGGAGTTTCTCTGCAGGTTGGGAACCTCACACATCTATCACTTGTATCACTAGTGCCTCTCCGACAAAGGAATCTCTAGGCTTCGAGACAGTCTCCAAACCAAAGCAAGTTAGTGGGGAGCGCAGGTAGAGTTTCTTTTCAAAAGCTACCTTTGAGTCAGTGCATTTCTTGACTAGTTCTGGCAACTTTAGACTGGAGTCCAGGCCTCATACCATGTCTTGCCAGCCTCAGAGCACCTGTTATCCTGTCTTCCACTTCTCCAACCCTGTTGACTGGTTCCTGCTGAAGGTCAGTCTAGCCCAGCGGTTCTCAACCTGTGGGTCGCGACCCCTTTGGCGGTCAAACGACCCTTTCACAGGGGTCGCCTAAGACCATCCTGCATATCAGATATTCACATTACGATTCATAACAGTAGCAACATTACAGTTATGAAGTAGCAATGAAAATAATTTTATGGTTGGGTCACAACATGAGGAACTGTATTTAAAGGGCCAGAAGGTTGAGAACCACTGGTCTAGCCAAAGGCCTGGCTGGGGGGAGAGGGTAGTATTTAGTAACCCTGCTAGCAGGGAGGTGGCCCTCTTAAACTCCATTTCTTAGTCCCAGTCTTCCAAGAGATTAGATACCTGCGGCCAGATGCATTTGTAGGGTAACCTCACACTTCATTGTATCTTGAATGTCTTTTAATCCATACCGGAGACCAGTGTGGGGAAACAGACCCTTGTGTAAATGAGCCACAGTGCACTCGATGTTTTCCTCCTGTTACAAGTCTCCAGGGAGTCAAGAGTCTTTAGTTACATGTATGACTATAGTTACTAGATAATCTAAGATTTACTGTGTGTGATCCTGCACAGTTAAGACCAAGATATAGTTCCTCTCTTTTTGATGGGAAATAATTTATTTTGCAAGAAAGATAAAATAACAGTTTAAAGAAGGAAAGGAAAAAAGAATAGAGTCTGTAAAACTATGATTACAGCTAATAAATATTAGATCTATCCAACTTCTGAGGAAGTTTATTTTTTTTAAACCATCTCCCTTTTTTGGTTTGTATTTTGAGAGCATTTAAGTCAAGGAAGGGAGGATTCATCCATAAAAATCACTTAGAACTAGACCCAAAAAAGGATGTTGTGTGCTCCCCGTAATTATCTGAGTACGGTGAATCAGCTGTGGCTCTCTTGCTTCACAGCGACCTTATTAACAGAAGTTCTCTCCTTATTAAGGAACTGTAACACCATGGCTCTCAGCCATGTTTCTCTCCCAGTCACAAGATGCGGATGACAGGTGCTCACCATTGGAAGTGGTTCTTATCTGAGGGCTTACTCTGTAATCTAGAGGAATCCAGGCTGAGGAAGGGGGAGCAGGGCGTCTGTGCGTTGATCATACAGATAAGATACAGTGGGGCCTTGACTTACGAGTTTAATTCATTCTGTGATGGAGCTCGTAACTCAAATTACTCGTATGTCAAATCTTAAAGTGAACGAGTGAGACACGTGATGCTGGGCTGATGTGGTGTTCACTGTGACGTTCGCTGCACCAACTAGCGGTGGGGTATCTGAAGCTGGCTCGTAACCCAAATTTTAGCTCGCAACTCAAAGCAAAAAATCGGCCGAGAGACGGCTCGTATCTCGAAAAACTCGTTAGTCGGGACACTCGTAAGTCAAGGCCCCACTGTATTCCTTGAGGAATTTCCATTAGCACTCCAGAAACATACCTGTAAAGGTTGGGTTATCATCTTGAGAGAGCTTTTGTTATTCAGTGTGGGAAAGTTAGGTTTATCTTGAGGAAATTTCTTGTGATTAAAGTTCATTTAAAGCAGTTACTCATAAATTCATATTTTCCCCAGATCATCTCATTTTGACAGCTTGTTGAGTTTCAATTGAAGATAAATTCTTCTTGTTTTCATTCTCTTCTCATTAAGAGTCTTCCTAGAACTAAGGAATTTCACAAAGATTCTTGTATTTAATTGATTCTCTCAGTATTATCTTATCATACCTAGGGAACCCCATTGCAAAATAGGGTACAAGAAAAGAAGCTTCCCAAGTCCTCTGCTTCCCAGAGTTGAGTTAAATATCAGAACTGTGATGGCAAGTTATTCTGATAATCTTTCTGATTCGGGTAGGTATGATTCTTCTCTATTCTGATCCTTTTTGCTTAGGGTTTCGCTATAATATCAAGGTTCATCAGCTTAGTCTCTTCCCTAGTTGCTGAGTTAATAGGAATGAGTGTGGAGAGACTGCCTGAATCTTTCCAACACTGTGTATTTCACTGCCTCAGCACTATGCTAGTTCCTAAAGGTGAAACACTTCATAAGCTTGTGTGCTTAACAGGAAATTTACTGCTAACATATGTAAATACCAACAACTGTTATATTGTCCAAAACAGCTAATTAGTTAAGCTGTATGTTGCCATCATGGTTGGTCTCTATACGCTTTCTCTTAACCTCAGGGCAGAGACCTCAGATACTCATGTTTTCACTTTCGTTTTAGCCCCACTCAATTCAGTGAGCTTTAGTAAATTTGCAGAGTTGTGCAAGCATTACTATAATCAAATTTGAAAACACTTCCATTGCCCCAAAGAAGACCCTCAATTTCCAGTTGCATCCATTCCTATCCCTACCCCAGCCCCTGACAAACACTCATTTACTTTATGTCTCCGTAGATTTGCCAAGTTTCTGTACATTTCTTATAAATGGTATCATACAATATATGATTTTTCGTTGATATTTCAACATTTTTGTTTTATTTTTTTGTTAATCCTCACCCAAGGATATTTTTTTCATTGATTTTTAGGGAGAGTGGAAGAGAGAGGGAAAGACAGAGAGAGAAACATCAATGTGAGAGAAACACATCGATTGGTTGCATCCTGCACGAGCCCTGACCAGGGCTCGGGTAGGGAGGAGCTTGCAACCAAGGTACGTACCCTTGACCGGAATTGGACCTGGGACCCTTTAGTCCACAGGCCCATGCTCTATTCACTGAGCCAAACTGGCTAGGACGATATTTCAATATTTTAGACATTTAGTTTACATAAGGGTTTGAGTCCATCTCTGACTCTTGAACACGTTCAGATTTTGTGTAATCATTTCTAAGATTCAAGTGTAATAAAAATAGCACTTATATCTATATACTAGTATAAAAGCCTAAGCGACCGTTATGACCAAATGACCGGTCGACTGGTTGCTATGATGCACACTGACCACCAGGGGGCAGACGCTCAACACAGGAGCTGCCCCCAGGTGGTCAGTGCACTCCCACAGCCAACCTCCCGTGGTCCCTTCCCCCCGGCTGGCCAGCCCCCATCAGCCCCGATCCCCGGCCCCAATCGGGACTAGACAATACAGTCCCTGATAGGCACTGATTGCCAGCCAGGCCGAGGCATCCCACCCGTGCACGAATTTGTGCACTGGCCTCTAGTTCTAATATGAAATCATGGTTGAGAACCATATGTCAGTTATGGTTTTGCTTCCACAACTAACCAGTTCTGTATACAAGGAGAAGGGCACACATGTTAAGTCCTAACAATTTGTACCCATCTTGTACTGTATAGTATATGAAGCACTTTTACATAATTTACATGCTTTTCTAGGGACCCATTTTATACTGTAGGAAAGACTTCAAATAGCAAGTGACTGATCTCAGATTATGCAACTGTTAAGAGGAGGAACCAAGGCTGGACACTAGACATCTGCCCTTAAATTCACTTTCTCACCACCCACAGTGTTTAGATTTGAGTCCTCAGTTGAAATGGTGGACCTTGAATTAGTTCATCTTTAGAGCTCTGCTAGTTATGTATTATGAAGTACTTTTTGCTTGTAGCTATGTTCTGTAAATTAGCTTGACAATTCTGAAGGTACTGATGACTGCATTCAAATGTCAAACAAAGCTCTCAGATTTCTTTGGCCTTCCTCATGAAGACGTCTACCATGCACATCACACTCATACAGCCTTTTAGGGTACTTGGAGTAGGGGGAAACTGGGGCATTGTGTATTGTATGGGGTCAATATGGATGTAAATAAGAAATGTAGATGGACACTTCATACCTATACCTAATAATTATTGACCTTTATGTATAAGCTTTGATTATTGACTAACTGGTAGGTGGTAAATGAGTTAGATTAGGTCCAACTACTATAAAAGAAAAACAGTCACTAGATTTTATTATATTGGTATTATATCATATTTGTTATTGCTCTTAATAAATGGGCTATTGCCAGCCTTAAAAATCATTTCCAACATATATGATACCTAGATTTTTCTAATAAGTATATTTGTCTTAATAAGCTTTGACTTCTGTTATGTTTCTATTTTCTCTTTAATATTTAGCCATTAAAGATAGTGGTCAACTGTTATAAGTTTCATTTTGTAAAATATGTATTACAAAAATTAAGCATTTCTTATTTCATAGAAAAAATATCTCACATTAACAAATACAGAATAGCATTGAAATTTATTGACTACAAAGTCAAGTTTACACTCCATCTGTTAGATAATATTAGAAAATGTTAACACTTCTTTGGATACAGTTTCATTTTTTTCTATTGGCAGCTTGTACCTTTCTATTAGAATTATATTGTTTATTTTTAAATCTTTTGCTTTTTTTCTTTGACTCACTCTTTTTAAAAAAATATTTTTTATTGATTTCAGAGAGTAAGGGAGAGGGAGAGGGAAAGAGAGCTAGAAATATCAATAATGAAAGAGAATCATTGATCAGCTGCCTCCTGCACACCCCCTACTGGGGATGGAGCCTGAAACCTGGCTATGTGCCCTGACCAGGACTTGAACCTGACCTGGTTCATGGGTTGATGCTCAACCAGGCAGAATCATTTTTTTTTTTAATAATCAAATGCAATATGATAGAAATATAGTAGGTTAAAGCATTATCTTTATCTGATTTTGGTTTTAAGATAGCTTATGAACATTTTGGTTTAATTTTTATAGTTTAGGTAGTTTCTAGGTCACAAACCATTTTTATGTGCCTTCTAAACATTCAAGCATGATAATTGGTGACTGATTTTTATTTTTATTTTAAAATTCCAATATAGTATTTATAATGACAGTCAGTAGGGTGCACATCCAGTTAAGTAGTTCCTATGATAGATATAAGGTACAGTACATATGTCCATATAAGATAGAAAAAATAAATAGCACATACACAAGCACAAGCTATACACTTTCTCCTAGGAGTCCAATCTCTAAACTAAATAACAAATGTAGAGTAGAAAACCTGGTTGGCTCAATTTCAGAAATTCGAAAATAAATAGTATAACTGGATGGATTTGTGGGTTGCGGGGGCAGGCAGCATGCGCAGTAACAGTAGCCTATGAAATGTGAATCCAGTTAAGTCATATTGTCAGTAAGCTGGTAACCAGGGTGGGGAAAGGAACCATCCCAAAATCTTCAGCGGCTGAGAAAGCTCTCCCATTTTCCTCATTCCTGGAATGTTACTCATCCTTGGCTTTCTGTAAAAAGATATACCAAGTGAGAAGTGTGAAGTATGGACCAAAAGAGTAAAATCAGCTCTGTAAAAAGTTGACTGATGGCCACATTCTGCTAGAGACAATGGGAGCTCCAGAAGGCATAGAATGTGGTCTTGGCCCTTGAAGTTAGCAGTCACTGGGTAGTGGTGGGATCCTGTGAGATATTTTTATAGTATCTAGTAGCCCATGGTTTTGAGATTTTAGAATTACTAAATTTTTAACCAACGATAAAAGAACTTAAAACTTCATACAGTATGTGACTGTTTATTTGTCAGTATTGTCTTGACAAATAAGCATCATTTTGTTTTTGTTTTTTAATTAAAACAGTATAAATTCTGAGATTTCCATGTAGCTTTTTAAATCTGCGGCTAGCAGATATTCACATATTTCAAACCCTCTTTAAATGTTCCTGTGATAAATGAGCAAAAATTAAGCTCTGTAATGACTTACTATTTATTTTTTAAATAAAAGTGCTGCTACGATTTCAGGTCCTTTTGGAATAAATCATGGGATTGAGCTTCATTCAGATGTGGTGGAATATGCCAAGGAAAAACTGGAGAGCTTCATCAAAAATAGTGATAGCTTTGATAAGTAAGTATTTATATATATAGTTTTGGTTTTATAGCACTTCTAAATAGGTATGTGACATGTCTGTTCCTCAGTAGTATTCATTGACCCTAAATTGTTCTAATTGAATGCAGCAAAAGTCAGTGTGGTATAAAATGAGAAAAATTAACATAAAAATTATTCTGTGATATAACTTTTATTCTTTGTAAATCTATAGTAAGTTATCAATAAATGAAATAACTTATTTTTTAATCTTATGCTTCTGTCACTTATTAATAGGCTAATTATCATTCATTAAACATAATGCAAGTCCCTTTTCTGAAAATACAGAGATGCTTGATTAGAATGCTTTCCTGGAACTGGTTTTATACTTTTGGGATAGTAATTTAGTAGTTCTGCCCTCTTCAGTTGTCACACAAGGATGATACCTGTTAGCATACAAGGGACTTTCTTAAAAATATTCAATTACTTTGTAATATATCTAGACGAAATTATGATAGAAATACATTGATCTATCTTGTGATAGGGTAGTGTTTGAGAAATTTGTTTATAAAATCATTGTTTTGAACTCGTACTTCCCCTTTGAAGAAATATTGCAGTCTTTTGTTCTTCAGCCGACAGGGAAGTCTGTTTGGTGCGTAATATTTCTAACATTCAGTAATGATAACACCATGGACCAAGGGCTTCTTATGCTAAAGTATGAACTCTGAAATTATGTAAAATTTGGAGGGCATTTATTTTTCTCAACCAGTCATATTTTCAAAGAACATTTAAAAGGATAGAAATCACAAGCTTGCAACTTAGTCATTTTATACAACTAAGTTTTAATGCAAAACCATTCAGAGTTCCAACTCAGCTTGTTGGAGGTGAGAAACTTGGAGGAGTCTGAATCAGAGCTGAGAGCTTTTTTCTAGAGTTGAGGCTTGGGAACAGTGCCAAAAAGGAAGCCAAGAAGGCCTGTGCATGTCTGCTGGAGTATACTTTTCCTTCTTGTCCTTTCTCGGCCTCTCCTCCCGCAGACCCTTGTCCTTGTCTTTCATTCCCCTTTGCCATTGCCACTTTTTATCTGTCCTCTGGCAAGAGGCACTTGATTGGTTGAAGAACAGAAAACTGATATTCTGCAGTAAAATAGAGGAGGTTTTGTGTCTACTTAGATGTGGTTGTAACTATTATTAAAGACCACAGTCAGGCAAGCTTGGGAGAATTTGAAAGTGCTCCGAATTTATTTTGTTCTATAATTAGTTCAGTGGCTTTGAGCAAGCCACTTGAAATTTCTGCATCAATTTGCTGAATGCCATCCTTTAGGTTATTTATGCTTCCCTTTATAAATGAACATTTAATTCATATTTTGAATTATTTTTCAAGTGCTTACCGTGTTGGTTCATATATTGTTTCCAAGAATAACATATTGTTAGAAACAAAATAGTTTTTAGCCCAAGTAATTTTATAAGAAATTGGTGTTCAATTTTAGCATCCTTTTGTATTTCTAGCTGTCTTATGAATAGATTAGTAGCATGTTAAATGCTTAAAATGTGGATATAAATATTTTATATCATTTATTGGAACTTATTTTAAACTTATTGAACTTTTGTTTTAAGATTTTTTGTTTTGATGCTAAAACTATGTATACGTTAGGACCTTTTGAATACATTTGAACTTAAAAAAATATAAAAGTAATGTTAGTAAAAATAAATGTTTAAGGCCTATTGTAAGGCCTTTATATATGTGATAGTAATACATTTATTTTATGTATCAATATATAATGACACGGATAATGCAGTTATTAAACAAGAGGAACAAACCTCAGGAAGTGTCTTGAATCACTGAAGCATCTCTGTACAAGTATTTTTGGAGCTCAGCTGCCAAGTGGGTGTGGTTTCAGGAAACAGTAAAATGTCATTATTTAAAGCATTTTTGTGTTGATGTAATTTAAATAGCAAATAATCTGTAACAGATAAGTTTGATGATTATATATATTGAAGGGTCTCAATTTTTCTAAAACTGTATTCATCTATATATATAAAAGGCTGATATGCATAGTGTCCCCTCGGGAGTTCGATCGCTTGCTATGATGTGCACTGGCCACCGGGGGTGGTGTGGAACGAAGGAAGGTCCTGGCCGGCAGCTGGCAGCTGGGGAAGGCCAGGCCTAGGGACCCTACCTGTGCACAAATTTCGTGCACCGGGCCTCTAGTATAATTATAAAATGATCGAATTTCCTTGGCTGTATTTCATATTATTGCATTATGCAAATTTGTTATTCATAAAATGATGAATCATAAAATGTGATGTGACTGATCTAAATGTCTTTTTTTAATTTCTAAATGTCTGGTCCTTTTCATTGAAATAACCAGTCAGATTTTATAATATAGTTGTTTCTGAAGTGTTGCAACTAATTTTTAAAACTGATTCTTATATTAATTAACTGGTCTGAAAAATTAGACAGTTCTAGAGATATTATCTATTCTGGTTTTCAAAGAGTATTCTGAGATATTAGTTACACATTTCAGATTATAAAATTATCTTGTCTATAAAGAGCAGTAGGTACTGGGAAAATATTTCATTTTGCATAAGGCAGTAAGTGGTTGGAAAGTAAATACTCAGAGTTGCTGAGTCATTCATTGGCTTTTCTTTTTATATCACTTCATTTTAGAGACAGAAATTATAAAGATAACATAGTTTTCTTTTAGTGTTTGATGATTTTCTTGTAATTTTTCTTGATGTTTATGGATAATAATTCTTATTTTAAATTTTTTAATTAAAAAAATGGTTATGCACAGTGCTTTTAAAAATCTGATTTCCAATCAGTTTCATTATATTTAATTGTGTCATCAAAATACATATTTTAATTTTAAAAATATAAAATAACTCAGGAAAATTGATTGCTATTTATGCATTCCTTAGTACACATTATCCTGGATTATGTGTAACATGGAGAATAGATAACTCAAACATAATAGTCTTCCAATCTTGTTTACCCTGTTGGTTTGGATCTTTTTTACCAGTTCCTTTTTTGAAAGTATTGTCATGTCACGATTTAAATTGAATCTTGAAAGTTTTCTTATATATGTCTTATGGACTCCATAGTAAACTTCCAAATATAGTAGGTGAGGGGAAAAAATTGATGAACTGCTCAGCGTTACAATATATAATGTCAGATGACCTTTTAAAAGATACTAATGTGTGTTTTTGTGTGTGCTTTATAAAATAAGCTTGGTTCCTGAATCTTCACAGTAGTATTCCTTCTTTTAGAAACAATAGCATTATAATGCATGTACTTTCAAACTTTTTTCCTACACTTTAGACCTGTAGCAACAGATGAAATAACGTGGAGAAACTACTCTGGATTCACTGTACTTGGAGATGGGAGGAATGGGGGCTCTCTTGTATGGTTTATTCCTTTGCTCTACCTAAGTTATCCCCAGATTCACTGAAATACTGTTATAAAACTGACATTTGATGTCAGGGATCCTCTAAAACATTGGCAGAATTTTCCAGTAAAGGACCAGGTAGTAAATATTTTGGGGATTCCGGGGTTAAATGGTCTCTGTTGCAATTGATCAACTCTGCTATCATGGAGCAAAAGCAGCCACAGACACTATGTAAACAAATGGGCACAGGGCGTTCTCCATGTGCTATGCGCCCTTGAGTCGGCTCCAACCCCTGGTGACCTGAATGAGTGATGTCCACAATGTCCTGTACAAACAGCCCTGCTCAGTTCTTGTGGACGCACTCCTATGGCTGAGTGTACAGTCAGTCCATTTCATATTTGTCTCGCTCTTTCCCTGCTGCCTGTTATTTTTTCCCAGCATTATTGTCTTTTCCAAAGAAACTGCTTTCTCATGATGTGCATGAAGTAGGACAGCTTCGGTTTTTGTCATTTTGCCTCCATCAATGTTTCAGGTTTGATTTGCTCTGAGACCTTCCTGTTCATCTGTGTGGTGGTCCAGGGTATCTCATGTAGACTTTATGTATAAAAACAAGCAGCAGGCAGGATTTGGACTGCTACCCACAGTTTGCTGATCCCCATTCTGCTCTTCACACAAACTTTCTAGAACATTTTATGTAGCCCCTATGGCAGGGGTGGGCAAACTTTTTGACTCGAGGGCCACAATGGGTTCTTAAACTGGACCAGAGGGCCGGAACAAAAGCATGGATGGAGTGTTTGTGTGAACTAATATAAATTCAAAGTAAACATCATTACATAAAAGGGTACGGTCTTTTTTTTTTTTAAGTTTTATTCATTTCAAATGGGCCGGATCCGGCCCGCGGGCCATAGTTTGCCCACAGCTGCCCTATGGTCTACTAGACAAGTCTTTGGGTCTACGTTTTAAAGGCCCTTAGGTGTCTGGCTTTCATGAGAGAAGGAGAAGGTTGGGAAAGGTCAAATTATATGAATCAGTTTTGTGCATGCACAGTAAGCAAAATAATCTCTCCAGGTGTGGTTAATTGGAAGAGTAAGTCAATTAAAGGAGCCTGAATAGTAAACCTTTACCCTATAAATACTTTGCAAATGAGTTGGGAATTGGTATAGCATTTATTTATAGCTACATTTATATATTCATATAATATGTAAACGTGTGCATATAGTTCACTGGCTTCCTAGAGTGCCTGCTTTGGAGCGTGCCGTTTCCCTGTAAGACAATAGACCTTATGCTGTGAATTACTATTGGGGGCAGAGATGAGTGGAAGAGGCAATGCGCTCCTCAAATTTAGTTGAGGTGTAAGTTTTAAATTAATTTCAGAGTTAGTATAGTATTTTACTATAGGAAATTTAATTGATATATGGCAATGTGTAAGTGTCATAATTTTGTTTTCAATGGTAGGTTTTTATTTTTCCTGTGCTCTGATCTGCTTTGGAAAATTAATATTTATATATTTTGTCAACTTTGCCTAGTCTTTAAGAGAATTATAGCACACTTGAAGTGGTTTCACTATCTAGAAAAATATATTAATAGTATTTAAAAATATTTCTCAGATATTTGAAGATTTTTATGTGCCAATGTTCAGATAATAGTTCCATAA